GAGTTGGATCTCGAAGAACTCCATAGCCAAGACAGGAACACAACATGGTTTGGTGAGTATCGAAAATCACTGAAGATTGCGTAACATGATATTCATTTACCGATCTCAGCCACCGTGAACGGAAGACAAGATGAATAGGCTGACGACCTTCTAGGAATCGATAGATTCCAGGACGATGGGCCCTTTTTGCAGGACTTTGACACCTTCAAGCAACTGATAAAGAACTCGCCAAACCCGGACCAGATTAGGTATCCACAACTGGTGTCCTTTATTGGCGAGACTAGCGCGGGAAAGAGTACTCTGATCAAGATGTTGATCGAGTATGACCAGGCGAAATACGAAGCCAACAAGTCCATGTTTAAAGCACCAGTCCCAGGGAGCCCGCTCCACGATTCCACACCCACCTCTGCAGATGTTCATCTATACGTTGATCCTGCTACTTGGGAAGAAGAGAGACCAATATTCTACGCGGACTGCGAAGGCCTTAATGCAGGAGAGCGCATTCCAATCGGGGCTCATTCCCGGAGACAGACGAAGACAGATACTTCTCGGAAACTGGGTCTGCGAGCACGTTCACTAGAATGGGCAACGTCAGACCAGACACGAACTCGTCAATATGCTGTTACTCAGCTCTATCCTCGCCTTCTCTATACGTTTTCCGATGTCGTCGTTTTCGTGCTGAACAACCCGAAGTAAGTTTGCCCCAAGCCAGTGGATCAGAGGCTATGGCTGACGGCTTAGGACGTTCGAGCATAACGTGCTTCCAAAGCTGCTCGACTGGGCGTCGTCCTCGCTCGAAGCTAGTACTAATCAAGGTACACTTCCTCACGCCATCATCGCACTCAACTTCTCAAACACACGCATCCCATCCAACCTGTGGATGGGTCGAGATGCAACGAATAACCTGCTCGAGAATAATGACCACTTGATAAATCCAGCATACAGTAGCGCTCAAGTCACAAAGCTTGTAGAGAAATGGAGGAAAAGAAACAGGCCCATCAGAAGTCTTCGCGATCTTCTTCACTGCTACTACGCTTCGTTCCAAGTAGTGCGTCTCCCGGAAGCCAAGGATATGCCTCGTCTCTCGAAACAAGTATCACAACTGCACGACACTATTGTGGAAACATGTAAAGCATCGTATCTGAACAAGCAGAAAGTTGGCCTTCTATCATCAGCCGAGGACCTGAGCTTTTATATCCAGAAAGCGTTCACACATTTCTCGAAAGACCTAAACCATCCATTTGACTTCAAGAGTTATTCCTTGATTCGGAATCCGATACCTCAGAACCTGGGTGGCCACATTCTCCGCGTTGCTATCGTGATGCAGCGGCAGTATCCAAATAGAACAGGAGAATGGATATTCGAGAACTTGAGTTTCATGGTGGCTTCTTGCTTCCTCTATGACTGCGCAACTTACAGAAAGGGGAAACCACACGACCTGTTCGCAGACTATCAGCCAAACTTCGAAGATGCTCTGGTTGAGTTTTGCTCCTCACATTGGCCTTGCGAATTCTCTCACGCTAAGAGAGGACGATGTGTCAACGTAAGCAAGAGTCATGAAAAGGGTCACCAAACTGGTAATCGAGGCAAGGTAACACATGGTCACTACATGTCCAGCTTCACTGCGGAAGATTACAAGAACGTATGGCTAAACTCTCTCAAGACCAGATTGCATGATGTGCAAGAGGAGTTAGAGCGTAAGGAAGATAGCTCAGAGGAGACTGGTCCCTTGGGTCCTATTCGAAGACTGCATGCCCGCAACATATCGAGTTTCTACCGTGCCGTCGGTGGCGCGTCAAAGTTCAATAGTCACGCTACGTGTCTATGCTGTCTCATGCGGCCTCCTGAACATGTCCTTCGATGTGGTCATGTCCTCTGCACTGAATGTGTCAAAGCATTTGGCACAGTCCGAAATTGCACGATGGAGATGAAAGAATGTCCCTTGCATATCGACGATTGCAATTGGAGATACCCGTGGAGGATTCGGATGAAGCCTGATTTTGCAGGTGTTCGTATTCTGTCACTCGATGGGGGAGGTATCCGTGGAATCGCCGAGCTTGAGGTTCTCTGCCAGATCCAACAAAAGCTAGGCGTCAATATTCCAATCAGTGCTTTCTTCGATCTCATTGTTGGAACAAGTACCGGTGGAATCATCGCACTGGCTCTTGCTGTAAAGCAATGGCCTGTCAACAAATGCATTGAAGAATTCAAGCGTCTCGTCAAGAAAGCGTTCTCGCCACGGGAATTCCATGGCATCGCCCCTCTTCAATACATCGCTACGGCTAGTCACGGCAGCACCTGGAAGACTACCCCGTTCCACGAAGCTTTGCTTGAGTCACTTGGAGATGGGTATCTGTTTGGCGGGGCCGAGAGCTCAGACAACGTAGCTCGGGTAGCTGTGACAACGACAGACGAAGTGGCCACCAGAGGCATTGTAATCGCGAATTACTGCCGGAAAAGTCCTAAAGACGACAAGCAGAGTTACGAGTTCCTGAGACCTAGTGAGCCGGATGCTGAGATGAGAACATGGCATGCTGGAGCAGCGACTGCTGCCGCTACCCCATTCTTCAAGCCATTCGTTCATCCGTTCACCGGAGAGACCTATCTTGATGGAGCATTCTACAATAACAACCCAGTAAAGGTGGGAAATCGAGAACGGCAACTACTATGGCCAGATGTGCAAGATAATCACCCGGATCTATTGCTATCTATCGGCACATCGCAGCATCAACAGGCTATGGTAGAGGATTTCCGCTCTGAGAGATTCGACATGCAGCGCAATATCGTATCATCTCTCAGTCATGGCAAGGCCAAGATAAAGGCGACCAGTAAGGTTAAACACCTTGCGGGTATGTTCCAGTATGGAAAGGCAGCGATCAACAAGTTAGGAGACTCGATACACTGCGAGCGTCAGTGGGAACAGTTCTTGGACGGGATGGAGCGAAGCACTGCTCATAGTGAAGATTCTCGCCGTTACGTTCGCATAAATCCAGATATTGGTCGAACACCGCCACGGCTGGACGACGTAAACGAGGTTGATCGACTCCAATTAGATGTTTCCCGATATCTCAAAGGGCCTGAGGCCATGGCTGATCTCGAGGATGTTGTCTTCCGCTTGGTCGCTAGCAGCTTCTATTTTGAACGAACGCATGCGACAAGAGATATGTCTCAGAGAGCTGCCAAAGTGAAAGGTAGGCTACAATGTCGCTTCGAAGAATCATCAGACTGGGCAAAGGAGATGGGGTTGTTCTTCAAAAAGCATCAGAGAGCAGACTTCCAGCCGTACTTTGATACCTGGGATGGCAATCAACAGCATGGAAGAGACAAGATCAATTTGGACTCCTCGCGCATTGAGAGAATGGCCAGCCATGGTGCACTTGACGTTCAAGAGGTTGAGCTGACAGTAGCAACATCTGGGAGAGATGCGGACATCAGACTCCATCTCCACACTTCAACAGGTCGGACCAAAGGCTATTCGATCAGCGGCTTCCCTCGCGATTTCTTCAGGGAGATTGACCGCGTTGAAGTAGACAACGAGGTAGAAGGATCGCCCAAGGATAGCATATCGAAACCTGTGAGCCTTCCAGGCATCCCATTAATCAACGTGTTGAGTGGGAAGGGAACGGCGTTGCTAAGACCCGGAGCGCCAGGCAGCACCTCGGAGCAGAATCTCAGTACACAACCGCATGTCTTGAACGAAGAAGATCGGCGCAAATCAGATGACGTTCTGTCTCGAGCTACGCCCGAGAAGGTCTCCAGAGATTTGAGTTTGAAAGAGAAATTATCAAGCCTGAGTCTGCGCGGCGAGGAACGGCGATCTCATTGGATTGGTTCATCCAAGGGCATACGGCGTGATAAGTCTCCTCTCACCCAGGAACATGAACAACAAATATTGCCCAATTCGCCACAGCATCGTAGGAGCTTTGGCACAAAGTCCCCACCTGAACAGCCACAAGGACAACGCAACATGGCCAGTCCACCTTCCATGCCTCGAGAAACAGCTCAACACAACGGAGGCTATGCCATACCATACACAATTCCCGACACAGATCTGCTCTCTTCCTTACCCAGCTCGATCCCAAAGATGAGTATGCCACCAGCGAACCCAACGCCTTTGCCAATGAGTAATCCCCAGTGGCAACCAATAAATTCTCAGTGGCAACCGACAAATCCTTGGTCCCAATCAATACACCCTACACACACATCGCAGCCACCACTGGCACCTGCTACTATTCCACTAAGCCCCCAGTGGCAACCAACACATCCAACACACACATTGCAGTCACCTCTAGCACCTGCGGCCATTCCAGCAGACTTCACTAGTACCGCTGTTCCCTCGAGTACTTACGAGTTCTATTCAGCCGACAACGTCTACTTGTCGCCTCATACCGCAGCCGCCCAACCACGGACCACTCATACTACTTTTGCTTTCAACAACACCATCCCCACTCACGCTCAGCCAGATCATACAGCCACTCAACATCCCCCTATGAACGACCACTATCAATCACCGCTGTACAAAGCTGATCAAAAGGCGGATCTGGAACTAGAATTCGCGTTACAGATTAGTCTTGCGGATCAGGAAGAAGAAGAGCGAGAAGAGCAGAGGAGATTGACAAGAGCTTTAGAAGAGAGTCGAAGAGAAGCGTATTGGTGCTAAGCCATCTATTATTGAAGCAATACGAGCAGATGTAGAAGCCTCACCATGTGCGAAGGTCACGCTTGTCGCTTCCAAGGGCGCTATATATCACGTCCTTGATACCAAACATCATTGCTCCATGCTCGAACACTCCTGTCCCTTCACTTTGTAGCAGTCTATCCAGCAGACGCGCATGTCACGCGATTTTTCTCACGTTTTAGTTGTTCACAGGGACTATCTATTCCATGGTTTCTTGCAGTACATAAGCCCATCTTAATGCGAGCAAGGAACTGTATAACATCGTTCAATACATTGTCATTGCTTACTCGATCTGGACAAGTTCTTTCAGCACTATCTTGAAATGTCGTCCGTAACGTTCTTCCTAGCAGGAAAAGTTCTCATCACACTAACACCACAAATCATCCGTAATCTAGCTGCATCGCTGATACCCTCTAACGATCATTTCTTCTGGTGGCCAATCTATCGCCTCTTCCAACAAAACTTCTATCCACTGTCCTTCCTCTTCCTCTTCCTACTACGATACATCCGAGTTGTCACTAGTCTGTACGGCACATATAGATACCGGCCTGTACCCATACCTCTATCGCCCACCTACCACACCACCGATGTCACAGTCATCATCCCCACAACGGACCTCATGTCCCCAACACTCCACCACGTCATCCGCACGATCCTCTCTCAAATCATCCCCAAACTCATCATCTCCACTGCAGGAATAGAAGCCGCAGAACAATCCAATGCATTCAGAGCCTTGTTCTCAGAAGATGGCCAGCGCATCATCGTCTCTCATCGCATCAAAGCCTCGCGTCGCGAACAAACCGCCCAAGCCCTCAAACAAGTCTCGTCACGTCTCGTAATACTGCAAGACGACCACACATACTGGCCCGCATCACGCGCATTCGTCGCCTCCGTGCTCGCGCCCTTTGAAGATGCGCACGTCGGTGCCGTGAGCGCAGATTTAGAAGCCAGGCACCACGCGCACCCGGCGTGTTCTTTGCGCGGATTCTGGAATTTCATGGGCATGGCCTACCTGGTACGTCGCTCGTACGAGTACCGCGGTACCTACGGCATCGACCGTGGTCTATCCACTTTGCCCGGTCGCTTCGGCGTCTTCCGCACCGCCATCTATGCTTCTCCGCTGTTCCTCGAGGCCTATCTCAACGAGCGCTTACCGTTCATGCAAGAGCCGCTCAACGCAGACGACGACAAGTTCCACACGCGCTGGCTGGTTGAACATGGTTGGGATGTCGGACTGCAGGCTGGGCCGGATAGTCTGATGACGACGGAATTGGGTGAGTGGCCCAGGTTTTTGGGTCAGGTGTTGAGGTGGACACGCACGACTTGGCGGAATAATCCAGTGCAGTTGATGAATAAGTCGACGTGGGTACGACATCCGTTCATGTCGTATAGTCTGCTTATGTGGTTTTTTCGACAATCGCTTCTCCACGAGTTGAGCATGTATTTTTTGCTTCATCGCACGTTGCGGCAATGTGGAAGGCCGAGCTACTTTACTGCTTGCGCGGTTGCACTCACGCTCTGGATTGTCGCGTTCAAGTTTATCAAGGTATCGGCCCACTTTCGTAAGTATCCCACGGACATTGTGTACTTTCCGGCGTATCTTCTTTTTGGCTATTTTCATTCGATTATCAAGACTTATGCCTTGGTAACTTGCATGAACGCGTCTTGGGCTACTGCGGAGACGGTCAACGCGAAACTCGGGGAAGTGGTGCTGGAGAGAGCAGACACGGACTCGGAGGAAGACAGAGGGGCCACCGGAATGGCTACAAAGACCATCCTAGATGCGACTTTGAAGTCGGCGTCTGTGAGAAAGCCGCAAGCTGGGCGTATTGTTCGAAAAAGGCCAGCTTTAGTCGCACGCAGATCGTGCTTTCGCAGGAGCCAAAGACAGATACAGTTTAGTCAACGAGCGAACCTTTAGGGCCGAACCGCCACTACCTTGAAGAGAGAAACTGAACATCTCTTTAGAGCAAAGTACTTATACCTACTACAACAAAGCGTGTTAAGGCTTCCTAGGTATAGATAGAGAATCTAGAAGTCTACAATACTATTAATCTTTCTAGAATCTCTTCTTAGAAGCCAACGTAGGCGATAAACTAGGGCATGTTATTCCCGTTCTGTTTGAGTTTTCTATCGTATACGGTGCCGCTAATGTGTAAGTAGTAAGTGCTGTGCTAGAAAACAAGAAGAAAAAGACTTGTTTTGCTAATCTCGCGAACCCAATCCAAGAACAATTGATGCTTAGTCGACTTCTCTGAACCCTTGCCCTTCTTGTTCTTCTTCTTCTCATCTTGCGTCCAAATATATTTTGGACCAGCGAGTCTCGTCTGAATGTCCTGTTCAAGGTTCATAAGTGTCTCGCAGCGAGAAGTGAAGTAGTTGTGAGGGTACCCACGGTTCCAAGGTTCAGTAGATCTTTAGCCCGACTAGGCCTAGCCCCCTTCATCATCTTGTATATAGACCGCGCGATCGCCGACTTTGCCTATCACTCAATATTGTTACTTTCCCAGCCCTAGAGGCAAATTTCAAAACATCAACTCCAGCAATTGCATTCTGCGTACGACAGGCACTACAATGGACGATAAAGCCAAGGAATTTCTGGCTAATGTGGAAGGCGGAATCGTGCCAGTGACATGTCACGATGATGTCTTGCGGATCGCATACATTGATATCGATGAGGGGCTGTGGGACGGCCAGGGCGTATTCGATGTTGTGGAGAAGCTGCACGCGCATGGCTGGTCTTTTGGTGAGGACGAGCTCCGCTTTAATCGGTAAGCTACATCCTCATATGAGAATCCCTTATACTGATGTACCCAGCACCTGCATGTGTGTGACTAAGATAAAACAGTACCTTAGATATATTTTATCTCGCCCAGATCGCAGCAGCCTACTACCACTGGACCGACCAACTAAATGGAGACGACCCTCTCACCTTCTCAGACTTCGACGCCTTCTACACTGCGCACCATGCCCTCTTGAATCCCACAGCCTGGCGCTCCTACTACTCCACCGCATTCCTTACCCAACCCAACACAGCACGCTTCTACCGCATGCCCGACCTCCAGGATCTTCCGGACTCGTCCTCCCCACTGTGTCTGCCGCGTGATAATCCGGTATCCGAACACGTCCTAAAGCTCCCCCGCTGGGCTTATACTGTGGGGCGGACTTGCCACAGGCAACCGTTCCTTCCATTTGACACGATTACTGAAATAGCCCTCCGCACGCTTGACACAGCCTTGACACGCCTACACACGGCCTACCCCAGCACACCCCCCTTTTCGGAACCACATGCGCGCTTCTGGCTAGACGAGTACTACAAACCTCCCATCACAGAATCGAAACAAGAAGCGTTGTCCACGAACACCAACACCCAGCTGGAGGGAGAGGAGAAGATCCCTTCATCTTCAAGCCCTACATCTGCCCCACCGCCTCGCAAGGACAACCGCGAAGCATGGGGGCCCCATCACTTTGGGCTCAATGTCGCGTCGGGATTGTATGATATACACAGTTTGGAAGCACAGTACCTCGCACAGGTTTCTTCGGGTAAGGTTGTCGAACCAGAACCTAGCAAGCCGGTGTTTTTCTGGTGTGGGATACCGGATGGAGGGACTGCAGATCAAGCGTTGCAGAGGGGGTGGCAGGAAGAGATTGGGAGTGAGGAGGAGGTCGAGTTCCTAGCCGTTGTTGCGATGGAGGAGACAGCCGGACTAGGAGCTGGAGCAATCAAGGTGGATGAGTTGGACTGTTCAATCCGGTCACATATCCTACTAGCAGTCATGCAGGCTGCGTTGATAGAGAACATGCAAGAGAGAGAGCGTTTCTTGGGGAAGCTGGAGAGGCGGATGGTACAAAAGGGGAGGATTGGTGAGGAAAGAGCAGGGAGGTGGGTTAGGGAGGCGTTGGAAATTATGGTGCCTTATGTACGCGTGTGGCAAGGCAAATGGCCTGGTGCAGAGAAGAGAGGGGAAATGCTGCGCCGGATCTTGGTGGAGAATCCACTGCTCTTTGCACGCTGGAAGTTGTCGCCTGTTTTGAGGCAGTTCGCTTTTGACGACGCAAAAGTTGACTGTCTCGGCTGCCAAGCGGCGTACTGTTAACTACTGCCGAGATCCCTTCACCCGGGTAGTAGACAACTGTTGGCATACCCTACTGGTGAATGTAGTCGACAATCGTGTAGTATCTACTGCCTAACACGGGCCGATACCTGGGTGGGCTCAAAGCAGAACTTGTCGCAGGACCGTGAATCTTGCTAATGATCAAAGCTGCTTTTGAACGGCTTTTGGTATCCGCAGTCGACCTATCCAGACGCGATTGACTGTAAGCTGTCGTGGAATTCCACCGTCGCGGTTTACCACGCTGCGATGCCGCTTACATGTCTGATTGGAATTCCCTTCTCTGGAAATCCTCGTAAGCGGCAAACCCTACCTACAAAGCCTCATGATTTGCTGACAGAGAGGGTTAGGCATCTAGCGCTAGGCTACCAGAGATAGCCCCCCACAAAACTGACGTTGTATTCAAAGGAACAACGGCTAATGCGACAGCGGCTGGGGATATCCGATCGAAAGCCATGAACATGACATCCCATCATGACAAGCACGGAAGGCAAGGGTGCAGCAATGTCGACCCTAATGATTATTTAGACGAAGACTTCTATATGATATAGTTGGGAATATAATCATCATGCAAATGAGAATCTGATTCTTCTCATTGCCTATGCCTCAACACCCTCACCCACCGTCCTTCGACTATGCAAATACTCATAATCCGGCAGAGCCTCGCTCACAAACCTCGCCATATCCTCTGCATCCTCCTCGCCCCACTCCTCAACCCACTTCTTCTTCTCAACCTCGAGCGTCTTCCCCTTGGCGCCCAGCCCAGGCTTGATCCCTTTACTAGCATTGATTGTGCTCAAGAACCTCGCCATGAGCGGATCTTCCACTTTGCGCTCTTCCCTATAAACACAACAGTCAGTCAGTCAGTCAGTCAACGTATAAGCGCAAGATTGAATTAATACCACCGTCCTCCGTCTAACGATTTCGTACATGCCACCAATGGAAGGAAGGAAGGAAGGGAGGAAGGAAGGAAGAAAGGAGGGAGGGTGGAGTGGAATGTGTCAGCTTACCACTCATACTGCACATCATCTGCACTCAACCCCGTCTGCTCGCACAACTGCCTCACAGCAGCAGGATTATTCATAATGTCATCGGCATCGATGATGCGCGGTGTGATACCAGCTTTAGCTCCATGCTTGGCGTACCAATCGTACAGCGCGTGCGAGTGCTTGAGCGTGAGCGTGGCTCTGCAATACAGAGAACGCGGGCGTGCATCGGGTTTCCAGTCGCGTTGGGCGCGCAACATGGATGGGAACATTAGCATGGGATGCCGGATCTGGAAAATGGGCTGTAGCGACAGGAGGAGATTGTCTGGCACGGATGTCGGGTTCGTGTGAACGGTATCAGCATTTTGGGGTGAGTTGCGTTGGTGGACGGTTAGGGAGGGGGGCGCGTCGTCGGGGTAGATGGATTGGAAGATCTTGTCTGGGGCGGAGAGGAAGATTGTATGTTCTTTTACAAAGGCTTGTTTGCCCTGCCGTGGTTGAGGTTAGTAAGCCTTTGCGTAGAGACAAGTCGGGGTTGGAGTGTGTTATCAGATCCATAGATGGGCCGACCCGAGCACGCCATCGCACGGCAGGATCGCGACAACGTGCGGTACGGTTGTGGCGGCGGCGGCCCCATCCCATAATATCTCCGAACCCCACAACCTCTGACTTTGATTCAACTCCTCTTTCTTCAACTCTCCTTTCTCTTCTTTCTTTTCTATCCGTTGGAAAAAAGTAAGACGCTGGTAAAACTTACATTCTTCGCACAATCATCCAATTCATCCTCCAGCTTTCCAAACGCCACCCGGAAACTATCATACAACTTCTCCTGCTCTTCCTCGCTCCACTCACTCAGCTTGCCCTTGTCAAGCTCTACCAAGGTGGTGAAACCAGCATCGAAGAGTTTGTATCCACTGTTCTGGTAGCCGGGTTGCTTGGCCATCATGGTTTGGAAGAGATTGGATGCTGAGCGAGGGTGTGTAAGGAGGTAGACTCCGCGGCGTTGAGGCGCGTCGCCATTAGGCTGCTGGGGTTGGAGTGTGCCCGGCATGTTTGATAAACTTATGGTAAGTCGTTCTTGGTGGGGAAAAGGAACCAAGTCTTTTTTCGAAGATCCTTTTGTTGTCAAAGGAAGCAAGCGGCAGAATCAAAGAAAAGGGACGGCCATCGCAAACACTTATGCGTTCGCCGGAACAAGTCTATTCCCAACCCTCGCATCGGTGCACTTTCGTACCAGGACGATCATCATTCACACCTCCCATCGGTTACGTACTGCACAAACACCTTTCCCACCTTCCATGGCGGGTCTAACTCCGAGTTTCGGCTGCCGACACCCCCGAGGGACGCGAGATAGATGGAGACACTACCATGGCCATGGCGTTAAATTATGGCTGCCTGCACGTCTGTACAGGGCTACGATCCACTCAGCACTGCGCGCAGAGTTTCAACAGCCCCGCAAGGCGGGCACGAGGTGTGACGGCGCTCGCTCGCGCGCAACGGCCGACAGCCCGATGTTACGCTATCGGCCGAATTGAAGACTGTAGATCCCGCCGGATGGGTAACACGCGCTTTAGTGCTCCCGATAGCTCAAGGCAAACAGGTAAATGGACATGGGACTCTGCCGGTTAATCTCTATGGAAAAAAAGCTTGATTTGTGTGGAGGGGTTTCGATAACTAAATCTCCAACTGTGTCTCTCAACCGTCTTCAATTCTGCAAAACTCAAAATCACAACCAGACCTTGCGGCAATGATCTGTATGGGGTTCCAGCATGAAGATCAAAAGAAGCAATGACGCTCGTCATTGTCTATCGAGTGCTTTCCTTGACACATTCCACAACGGTCAAGGTAGGATGCTGACGCGAATGCCAGCATAGCTGCAATTCGAACACTCATCGTGTCCAGGCCACGTCGAGACGATACACATGCACCATGTCCTACCCAGTCGACCATAGGTTGCTTCTGTTCGTATTGGCCGAGGAGACGCGCTGCAATGCTGAAGCGCGGAGCAAATCCACACTGTTCACCGGCGCAGGCGCTTGTTGGTTGGTTCTGTCGTTGGACCCGCTGTGAGAAGCGTGGTGGAAGAGGAGATTGCCTGTCATGGGATGCATCAGCGTTGTTTAAACAAACACTGACTCGATCCAAACAAAGTGCTTTTCCAGCCTCAGCTTTCAACCCTCAGCCTTGCTCTCCCCATTCCCGTGCTCATGATGCCCGTTGAGATGTAGAATGCGTTTCATGCCGTCGACGCTCTTCTCTAGATGAGGATGTCGCGCAATGAAGCCACCGTGGTGTCCATTCGATGCAGCGCCAGTGACAGAACGCTTCTTACCAGCAAGAGGTTCGGGCGGTCCAACCCGCGGAGGCCATTCGTCCGTGTCCTTCCAGCCTTGCACCAGCGCCTTTGTCATGTCTGCGAGGTTGATGGGGACCGAGGGCGTGCGCGACGAGACTACGATTTTCTGGAAGATGTCCTTGTAGGCTTTGGGCGTGATGGATGCGCGGATTGGGTTGTCGGCGAGGAGGGGCGCGGCGACGGGGACGAGGTCAAACGTGTCGGGCGTGGCGCTGGTGATGGAATGCGCCTCGGAGCCCGTGGGGGTGACGGCGTGCTCTTCGGACGAGTAGCCCGTGTGTCGATTCGTGCCGTACTTCTTGACGCTCGCTGCGCCTGTCCACACATCTCGTCGTTGCACCCAGATGCGCAGTCCCTCGTTGTCTTTCATTTCGCGCTCGAGCCTCTCTTTGCGACGCCTCCTGCGCGCCTCTCTGGTGCTTGCTACCGCATCGCCGATGCTCTCTGGGTTATCGAATCTGTATGGGCCGGTGCCCTCCTCGTCGTCGTGATCCGAGTCGCCAGATTCAGACTCGCCATAGTAGCGCTCGCGGAAATCGGCAGCGTCGCGCACTTCCTCGTCTGAGGCGGACCATACTGCGGGCACGTCGGGGTACTCCCAGTCGTTGCGAAGGCGCTCTTCGAGGTGGCGCCGAGATGCTCGGGCGGCAGAAAGGTTGTTCTCCATGGTTGAACAAGAGGTGCGTGCAACAGTGGAGACAGCGGGGATGACTACAACGACTGGATGACTGCAGCCTGACTGGATGACTACAACCGTGCCCGGGCTGGCGGGCGATGACGTACGCGATGATCAGGTCTGGTGGGTAGAAGCTTCACGTCCGGGAAGCGTGTTGAAAGAGTCAGACGCAAAGAGAGTGGGACAAAAGCTTGAATTCCATTTGCACAAACTGCATCGTTGACGTCGAGCCCATGCGCCGGCTGCAGGGCACAATGGCGGGGCGACACTTTACCCGACGGGGCCAAGCGCCTGGCCTGACATCTCCAAGCGCCCTGTCATGACACCTTCACTCAATCCCCAAAACAAGTCCAATCATACCCGCCATTCTAGCACAGCCCTATAGTACTTTCCAAATCTCATCCGACACCCCCTCATCTCTGTTCTTTTCACAGTACACCGTTACACAGAAAAGATGCTTACTCGCATTCACACTCACCACCTCAAACAGGCCACTCTCCAGCACTTTTGCAAAGTCGACCATGATCCGCTCAATCGGTCCCCGCGACTTCTTGCGAATTATGGAAAAGTCGCTCCGAACATCCAAGTTTTGCCAGATAATGGAGATGTCAAAGTCCTCATGCAGCGTGAAGCCGCCATTTGGTGATTCTGACCTAAGGGCAGTGGGGGCATTGGGGGTAGTCGCTATAACCACCGTTAGTATCGCGAGTAGCAATAGTGGGCGTGTGGAGGTTGAGGAGCACATACTGGTCGCATCTGCAGTATTTGTTGCACTCTGCATCCTGGCAGTTGTAGATACCGTAGCTAGTGCAGCGACAGCCAGCCGAGCCTCCCTCGTAGCAGCGTGGCAGGGTGTTACCTCCGCTGCGGCAATAGACTGTGTATTTAACGAGCGCGGAAAACGTCCCGTTATCGGCGCTCTTGTTCTCTAGAAGGGTAGGTGAAGCAGTAGTGATTGTGAGAAGAG